AAAAAAAAAAAAAAAAACAAAACGATAATTTGAGGTGGCAAAGCCAAATTGCACTTACGCAATTACAAAGATGTTTCAGCAGTTACTGAAATAGATTATGGCATCTGGCCATAATTTGCTGGGAAATCGTACAGTGTCTGGGGACTGGTTGATTTTCACTACCTGCAAAATTTGTTTGAAGTACAATGCATGCCATGCAACAAGTGGTATTAATCTGTCAAACTGCCGCACTAATTTCATTTTGTTCAAAATTTGTAAAAATAATGAAGCCACAGCTCATTTGTGCGGCAAAAAACCCACCCACTTACCAAACGTCAACAGATTTTTAGTCAAAGAGAAAAAAGTCAACTTCCACCGTATTCACCTTCCTTGAGAAGTACGGGCAAGATAAAGAAGCCTAACGGCTGCATGTGCTAATAACATCCGATGGCAAGGCTGTCGATGGCACTCCTTTTCAAAGGTCACTTGAAACCAAAGTGATGGTTGGTAGAGGGAAGAGGAAACAGGAATGCAGCTGCAAACCAAAATTTCAAGTTATCAATGAGAAAAACTTCAATATAAAATAGCGAGAAAAAAGCCCCCAATGACATTTTCATGCATCTATAAATATATAAGGTGCTTACTTCAAGGTAACGAGCGAACGTTTTCGAGCTGAGCGATGGACTGATTAGATCTACTGCCATCTGATTCTTATAACAAATCGCCATCAAAGTTGGCATCAAAATGTCCATTAGCGCGCTATTTAAATAGTAAGGAGCGGGTAATGAGCAAAGCTGCATCAACAGTGAGCGCTTTCCACCTAGCATACAGAACATCTGCAAACTCATTTAAACAGTAACAGTGCACAGGAAAAGACAGTGCTTAGCTACAGAAAGCAGGCTCAAGGCAATTGAGGATGGAGAATTTTTATAAATTAAAAAATTAAAACGAGAGAAACTAATTTTTCTTAGAAAACATTCAAAAAGGTGTATCTCGCGAATGATGTTTCGTCGAAGATGTTCGATGAGCATTAAGAGGCACTCCCGAAATTGTAGCTGCGAAGATTTTTATGCGTTTTTGCCGTGCAGCGCTAGAACGAAAAAACGCATATTGCAACGACTTGTCAGTGTGTGTGTGTGTGTATGTGTATGTGTGTGTGTGTGTGTGTGTGTGTGTGTGCGTGTGCATTCGTCTGTCCAAGTATTTCAACTCGCCAACCACGCAAGATTTAAATCTGAAATTTTGCCAGTATGTCCCCCACCCAACTGCCACCCCAGGACCGCGGTATCAACTCTCACACACGTTTGGGCCTCGCGCACAAGCACGTGAAAGTTATGGTGAGAAAATTGCTAACTCGGGAACGAAGAAAGCTAGAAAGCTGAAACCATAGGGTAATGTTCCCTACTCGTGTATGACAAAGAGTTCAAATTCAGCCGCCCAGGACTGCCCGTCACTCAAGCACGGGCACGTGAAAATTATGGCGGGAAAATCCATAACTTGGGAATGAGAAAAGCTAAAAAGACAAAACTCTGGGAGAAATGTGTCCTACTCACGCACAACCAAAATTTTTCAAACTCAGCTCCTTAGGACCGTCCGGAGCTCACGTACGGGCACGTGAAAATTCTAGTGCGAAAATTACTAACTCTGGAATGGGAAAAGCTAGAAAGCTGAAACTTTATGGCAATATTCCCTACTCATGTACGAGCAAAATCAGGCGTTTAGAAGCGTTCGGGCTCATGTACGAGCGCGTGGAAATTCTGGCGCGAAAATTACTAACCCGGGAACTGGAAAAACTAGGAAGCTGAAACTATAGGGTAATGCTCCCTACTCATGTATGACCAAAAGATTTCAAATTCAGCTTTTTAAATTCGTCCGGCACTCATGTACGGACACGTGAAAATTTTGATGGGAAAACTGCTACCTCGGGAACGGGAAAAGCTGAAGGCTTTAATTTTAAG